TAAAAGGTTAAGTGAAAAAAAGATGCAAATATCATAAGGAGATTTTGCGAATGCAATCCAACAAAATGGTGAAGCTATGCAAAAACAGACACATTTGTCCCATTGAAATACATTGGTAATGCATAAAAAAAAAATAGAACAAAAATTAAACAGAACCAAAAAATATCATGAGGGTGAAGTTACATTTTTCAGAAATTTGCCTATGCAGTTTTAATAATTAATTTCATAATCATGAAATAAATATGGCAAAGCTCCATGTTTGCGCCATTGAAAACCATTTCAAATGCTGTTTTTTTTTAATCCGAGATTTTAAAGGGAAAAAAGATGTTTATTTCTGTAAGGAGAACAAAATAATATTTCTGAAGAATTTTACAAATACACTTACAATTAAACAAAATGGCAGAGCTATGGAATAACTGTCATATTTGTCCCATTGAAAACCATTGGAAAGGCTTCTTTTTTTTTTTATCCAAGTTTTTGTGAAGAGAAAATTTTGAGTAAAAATATATGTAAAAAATAGTATGGGACGGATGAAATTTTTCAGAATTTAAAAAATTGATAATTTTTCAGAATTTTAAAAATTGATAATTAATCAAAATCACAAAGCCATGCAAAAAGAAAAACATCATTTGTCTCATTGGAAATGCGAATACCAGCCGCCTGTTTCTGTGTAGTGATGTCATCTGATTCAGACCTCGTCAAAAACCTTGGCTACTTTCTTGCAATGTCGTCTCGTTCAATTAAATGCAGGAGCTTCACTTTGTTCCACGGCGATATTGAATGCCTCGGAAATTCTTTTGTAGCCTTTCCCTGGCTGCTACCTTTTGAACAAAGTGAGCCCTCTGATGCCGCCGAAGCTCTCTGTGGCCCGTGGCCTGCGCTGTAAGATGTGACAACAAAGAAATGTCAGGAAAATCCTACTAGAACAGCTGAACTTGATTCCGGGTTATTGTGAGGCCACAGTTGTGCACTGAGTCACATTTAACCGGGATTTTGATTTTTTGACTCGGATAACAGCCACGCCCCCCCTGCCCCCCCCCCCTCCAGTTATGTTCCCAGTTGTTTATTTGGACTTTTTTGCATTTCTTGTCCAGGTTGTAAGCCACATGAAGGCAAGTCGATTTTATTGATATGGCACATTTCTTCCACAAGGCTTTGCTTTGAAAACTGGGCTTTGCTAATCTGCTTCCGCAGACCTCGGAGCCCTGCTGGGTTCTTTATATTCAATTAGCGTTTCTTGAATGTCTTCAGGACTCAAAACCGTATCGTGATTTATAGACCATTAGCAGAATTTAAATATCAAATGTATTCCACGGCTGACTGGGAGCCAGCGTCAAAACGCCTTCAGTCAAATCAATGGTGGCAACAAGTTTTCGCCAAATTCTCCCTTCTTCGTTTCGATTTCACCTTTCGCTCAGGTCAACCAATTCAAAGCACTCGCGAGGTTTTCGGTCATTCGCACAATTCCGTCCATGCAGCTCTTGT